TTAATTAATTAAGAAGGGTCTACCATGGATCATGGACCCTTATCCCTAAACCAAATCCTTAGTCCTATAAGGAATATAATAAGTAGATCCTTACCATTCAGACCCTAGTTAAGACTCTTAAGTATATATAAGGACCTAGGAGGCACCTAGAAATCACACCACAATAGATTCCACCAAACAAGAATTCCCAAGAATTCCCCTATCACCAAACGTCGGAGAAATCACGAAGAGGAGATCTTAGAGAAAGAACCTTGTAGCCAAGGATTCTAATTAAGGCTAAGAGGTAATCCATGTCTCAATAAAATCTATTTTCCTTGCTATAATCTCCTTCATTGGCTCCTTTGATATATGATTTTGTGTTTGCATCGTGATAAGGCTTTTCTTGAGATTGATATGATGATCTTGATTTTATGAGATAATCTTGATGTTTATGTGTTGATCTTGATACTTATGTGATAATCTTGATGTTCTTGATTCTAAAGATAAATTATATAAATAATCTTGTGTTTTAATTATGACTAGAGCCCTAGGGTTAAAAACGTGGATTTCGTATTGTGGTATTCTTGGTATGTTTGGGTGGGATTTTGAATGATCGGGTATTGAGTCTTGGCATGTTTAGGAGTCGTGTTAGGATGTATTTAATGTGATTCTTGGATTTAATCCATTACTTGATTACGTGGTGTCGTCGTTTGTGTTTAAGTGTGTTTGGACACGGTTTCGGGTTCCACGAGGGATCCCGGGACCGAATTATTACCTAGGAGTTAGTGGGGGATATGTGGGGGCAGGGGGTACCCCCCACCTATCTGTTGCCCCATGGGACCGCCTGGCAGCGGGCAGCCGGCGGGTAGGCAACTGCCCGCCGGGCACCCACTGCCTCGTGATGTGCCGCCAGCGGGTGGCCATCCACCCGCCGGCCACTCGCTGGAATTCCAGTGTGGAACATGGTGGTTTTCCCCGTTTGATGTTTCCCCATGTCCCATGGTGTCCCATTGTCGTGCCTGAGTCTAGTTTGATGTTTCGGGTACCGTTCGTAGGATAAGAGAGTCTTATGTATTGCATGCTAGTCGAATTGGTATCCCATTGGCCTAGGAGAAAGGTGCATGAACCCCTTAGGCGTATCTCTAGTAATGTGGTTGACCACGCATAAGTTATATATGTATGATTTCCCCCTCCTTATGTGTTAATGTGGGTTGCATGTGCTTGGATGGGTTGAGAACTATCGGCTGTTAACCTGGCCGGTTGCGATCGGATAGGTATATAAATTTATATATAGGGCGGCGGTCCATAATCTGGTTGCGATCAGATATACATACTATTCGGGCTGCAGTCCACCGTTTGGTTGCGATCAAACGTTATAAATGAGCTGCGGTTCATCGATTGGTTGCGATCAATCTCCTTGTGCTGCGGTACAAGCAGGGTGCTTCGGGGCCATGCCAGAGCTATATGCGCTGGCGCTTCGTGTATGGGCGCGTGAAGGGTCCTGCGGCACCACCAAACGTGTTTACGTGTTGAAATAATGATTGAATACTGATATGAATGATGTGAAATAGTCTTGTGACCTTATGGTGTATGATAGTATCTTTATATGCGTGATTATACCTGATGAATGTGCCTACCCTTACTTATTGAGTCCATTCTCGGTTTTAAATTAGAGTTTCATAAGTAGATATCTATTCCGGCTTTAAAATGGTTTTCCATATATATATATATATATATATATATATATATATATATATATATATATATATATATATATATATATATATATATATATATATATATATACATATATATATATATATGTATATATATAGCTTCTCCCGCATCCCTAATAGCCATTTGCCCCCTCCCTGATGATGATGATGTGGAGGCGGGCTATGGTGGTTAAGAATTATGGGAATAATACAACAGAAATCCACACTTAGCTACTGTGCAAATTTTACTGTGCGTGCGTCATTTATATAAACATTCAACTGCACCGAAGGTAGCTGATAATCCAGAATCCATGGCCAAATTGAAGGAAGAAGTAACAAGAAGCTTGGGCATTAATGTACGTGAGTTTCTGTTCTGCTTCCTCAGCTCGTAATTTTGAAATACTCACGCACATTAAGCACAAATCTCACGCACATTAAACACAATACTCAGGCACATTAAGTACAAAACTCACGCATATTAACATAACGCACATTAAGTACAAATCTCAAGCACATTGAGTACAAATCTCACGCACATTAAGTATAAACCTCACGCACATTAATTCACCGCACATCCGCATGGGAAGCAACAAATGCACCTGATCCCTTCCATATATATATATATATATATATATATATATATATATATATATATATATATATATATATATATATATACCTATATTGTATTTTAACGCGTTAGAGTAGGTTCCCAGCATTATTCGCTGAATAGATATATTTGGCTTTCAGGCACAGATGACTAGCTCTGGAGCGCGCTAGTGTAACACCCCGTGTTACGACCCCTTTAAAACCAATTATTCATTTAACCAATTATCCAAAGAAAGAATTAAATTACAATAATTAAATTGGAAAAGGCCCACCATAGTCCGTGGGCCCCCTTCTCTAAACCCAACCCCTAGTCCCAAAAGGAATAGAGTTAGCAAGCCTATAGTATTTGGGCCCTAATTAGGACTCATAGATATATAAATAGGGGACATAGGAGGCACCTAGAACCCCCACCACAATAATCTCTCACCACACAAGAAGTTCCAAGAATTCCCTTAGGAGAAATCAAGAAAGAAGAAAGCTTAAAGAAAGACCCTTCATAGCCAAGGAATTAATTAAGGCTAAGAGGTAACCCATGTCTCAACAAAACCTATTTTCATAGCTATGACTCCCCTCTTAGGCTTTCCCCATATTCCTGGGTGTTGATGATTTGTTATATTGATCTTGATAATTGGTGTTATGATTCCATGGGTAATCTTGATGATCTTGGTGATGAAAAGAGGTTCTTGATGATTATATGGTGTTCTTGATGATTATATGATGTTCTTGATAATTGTATAATGTTCTTGATGTTTATGTGGTATCCCTACCGAATCTTGACATTAGAAGATGAATTGTGTCCTTGTTGATTTAAAAGTAATTAGAACCCTAGGTTGTATCGTAAAACTCGTGTGGTACTATTCTTGGTGTATTGGGTGGGAATTCGCATGTTTGGGCGTTGATTATGTTTAGAAAAGCATGATAGGTTATGTGCCGTATGTTTCTTGCTTTTGGATCCGTTAATTGTTTACGTGTTGTTGTCAATTGCGTTTGAAAGTGTCTAAGCATGCTTTCGGGTTCCACAATGGTTCCCAGGGCATTTTCCGTGATGAAAAGAGTCAGTGGGGGGTAGGGGACCTGCCACCTACCCGTGGCCAATGTTAACGTCGCCGGCAGCGGGCAGCCGGCGGGCGGGCAGCTGCCCGGAACCACGACGCCGGCGGGCAGCCGGCCGGTGACCCCTCACCCACCGGCTACCCGCTGGATTTTACCCCACCTTAGGATTTCGGCTCCCCCGTTTGATGTTCCCCCGACCCCCGTGGCGTCCCAACAGACTCCGTCTATCGTGCCTATGTCTAGTTCGATGATCGGGTACCATTCGTAGGTTGAATAAGTCTTATATATTGCATGATAGTGGAATTGGTATCCCGTTGACCTAGGCCTAAGGAGTATGAACCCCTTAGGACTATTCTTAGTATGTGAATGATCACGCATAGGTTTCGTTATACGATTTCTTCTCCTCCCCAATGTGCCAATGTGGGTTGCATGTGTTTGCTATGTGTTATGTGTGCATGTTACCCCAATTCAGTTGCGATCGAATTGGTTATTCCTGAGCTGCGGTTCAGAAGCTGGCTGCAGTCAGATTTACACTCTCAGGCTGCGGTCCACCGTTTGGTTGCGATCAAACGTTTTACATGAGCTGCGGTTCATATTCCTGGCTGCGGTCAGATGACTACTCTTGGGCTGCGGTCCACTGTTTGGTTGCGATCAAACTATGATGAGCTGTGGTTCATCGGTCAGTTATGATCGACCCCTCCGTGTTGCGATACGGGGCAGGGTGCTGCGGGGCCGTGTCAGAGCTACATGCGCTGACCATTATGTATGGGCATGCGATTGGTCCTATGGCGCCAACAAAGTGTGCTATGTGATAAGGTATGGGTGATTGGATTGTTATGGAAGCGTGACCCTAGGATACATACTAGTAACTGTATATGCTTGTTTATGACTATTGGCTGTGCTTATCTCTATCTGTCGAATCTGTTCCCTACGCCTGTGAATTGTGCATTCTTGATTATGACTGTTGGTTGTGCTTATCCCTATCTGTCGAGTCTAATCCCCGTTTTGAAAGCTAGAGTCTCTTAGGATATATCTTCATGCTTCGAAATGGTTTTTCATATATCTATGTATATATCTATATGTATTGTATTTCAACACGTTGGAGTGGGTTACCAGCATCTCTCGCTGAACAGATATATTTGGCTTTCAGGCACAGACGAGTAGATCACCGGAGCGCGCTAGAGGCTTGGGGCGTAGATTAGATAGTTTTCCCATTCGGCCTGCGTGCCATGATTTTTGTATTGATACTGTTTGAGGTTTTAGAATTTAGCTTGTGTACCTGAGTTCTCTAGCTCAGGGGTGGCATAACACCCCGTGTTCTTATAAACGTTTTGGGATTTATGATCATTTACCTTTGCTATACAGTCTTTAAAAGTTTTTGAAATTTCGGGGTGTTACAGCTAGAGGACCCGAGGCTTAGTTAGTTTAGTTCCTTATCGGCCTGCGAGCTATGATGATGTACTTGACATTGATTCAAGGATTTATGATGTTTAGATAGTTTAGCCTGTGCATCTGACTTCTCCAGCTCAGATGTGGCATAGCACCCAAACACTTATGTTTAGTTTTGCTCTGTTTCTTGATTTAATGTTAGTATTGCCTTTATTTCATAAGCATTCAAAGTTTTAAATTTTTGGGGTGTTACAGGCCACCATCATCGTCGCTCCACAGTCCGGCGACTCCGGGCCACTGCAACCGGCTCCACCACGGCACCAAATCCAGCCTACACCACGTGGATACAGCAGGATCAGTCGATCCTGTCGCTGATCATCTCCTCCCTCTCCGACGAGGTAATGCACCCCACCGTTGGCAAGAACACCGCCCGGGAGGTGTGGCCCTCTATCACTTCAGCTTTGGACTCCTCCATGCGAGCTCGCTGTCTCAGCCTATTAGGGCAGTTCCAGACGCTGAGGCAAGGGAACGGATCGCCGGCTGAATATTTCAGAAGGGCGCAACAACTGGTTGAGGCCGTATCTCTCGCCGGCCGGCCACTCTCTTTGGATGAACAGATTCTGTACGTCCTCCGAGGGCTCCAACCAGATTATCATTTGATGGCTAGCTCCCTGACTGTGACTGGTACTCCCATCACATTTTCGCAACTGTCGGACTTGCTACAGGCGCACGAGTTCATTAACTCTAACAAGTTTCCGACCGTCGACCATCCAGAAGCCACTGGCTCTCCCTTGGCTTTCTTTGCAGGTCGCAGGAATTCCAATTCCGGCGGGAGGCAGAATTCGAACGACGGCGGCAGAGGTGGTCGTGGCGGAGGAGGCCGTGGCTGAGGCGGTCGCGGTGGGGGTCGTGGCAGTCCTCGTAGCTAGATTTGTCAATCCCATAGCCATACAACGGTCTTCTTCTACAAAAGGTACAGTGAACGCCTGCCGCCGCACGCCAACATGGCAGTTTCAGGCGAGAATCCGGTCGGCGTCACGCCGGCAAATGCGTGGTACCCGGACACGGGTGCTTCCTCGCATGCTATTCCGGACGAACAGATGTTGAGCCACTCCGATGTCTATACATGTGACACCCCGTAAATCCAAATTCTATTTAAGGATTAATTAGATAATTAATCCTAGCTTAATTGGTAATTTATTTCTAAAATCCTGGAAATTCAATAGTCGGAGGACTAGAAATTGACTAGTCAATCCAAGTCAATGGGTTGTACTCTATGCTTTGTGAATTGTTCCCTTGTCTCCTTACACTTTTCCACTTTAGTAAGGTTAAAGAAGACTTTTCATCTTATGTTTGTATCCCAAGCTAACCTAGAGTCATCTTTCATTTCTTTTCCCTAACACCCTAAAAAGAAAAGTTCCTCATTCTCTCTAGAAAATAGCTAGCGTCTTCTTCAAGCCAAGTTTGGGCAATTCAAGATTCTTCAAGTTAGTCTCCAAGATTTAAACTTTCTTAACCTTGAGCATAAGGGAGGGTAAGATTCATGGTTCCTTAGTGTTTTTAATACCGTTTTAGGTGTCTTTTCTAAAAGATAGAATCTTTGTTGTCTTTTGGTGTGTTCTTAAAGTTGAAGTTGAAGGAGAGCTTTAGGAGAAGCTTTAAGGGTGTGAAAAGTGTATGTTTAGGCTACAAGAGGTAACTCATGCCGTACAAAATCTATTTTCTTACCTATATGATGATTTCTTGACTTCTACATGTGATTTTTGCTATGAAATGTGAGTTTTGATGCATTGTCTTGTGAGACTACATATCTAGAGCTTGTTATTAGGGTTCTTGTATGCCAATGCTTGGCTATTTCTTGGATTCAAGTCATGTTGTTGTATTTTGTGAGATTTTGGGTGTTTTGGACTTGAATTTGGACTTGGTGTTGAAAATGCCCGAAGGGATTATTTGTGGTACAGGGATGTACCCACGGGTGGAACGGCAGGTAGAGCACCACCTGCCGCCCCACCCACGCGTGGAACCACGGGCGGAGGTCTACCCGTGGCCCCACCCGCGGGGTACACAATGGTGGTCGGTCGGGGATTTGTTCCCCGTGATTCTTTTGACTTGGTAATTGATGTTTTGACTTCCCGATGTTGTTTTGTTGGGCTATTTGAATATCTTCTTGATGTTTCATATGTCTAGAACGGTATGTTAGGAATCCATGTAGGATTTGGTGTCTTGAATCGTGCTAAGTGTTCAACCTTGTGATTCGTTGAACCATGATGAGTCTTGTATGTACTTCGGAACTATGTTTTGTTTACCCGTTTGATAAGCATGCTAGTTTGAGTTGAAATGCTAGCGTGTGTGGTTTGTTCTTTCCTATTGTGGATAGCAACTTGTGTTGACTATCGTTGTTGTTGGATTGTAATCCTTCCTTGATTGAGTATGGTTTCATATCTTTGTTGTGATCCATTGATTGATTCCTGTGATGGAAATGTGTGTGTTGGCCGTACCTGGATTGCACGATTAATGGTATGGGACATTAATCACCAAGGTACAGATGCGGTCCTCGTAGTGGCCATGAAATGATAATGGAGTTGTAAACTGGGCTTTAGGCTCATGTGATCTGGGCTTCAGGTTCAGCTGGGCTTCAGGCTCATGTGATTGGTGGTTGTGTGATTGAAATGAACGGTACCCTTGTGTACTTTGAAATTGGTGGTTGATGATTTGGTGGTTGTAGGTGGAATCGACGGTTCCCGGAGGCATAAGGTTGGACTCAGAAGTACAGGGGTTCTCGGAGGTAATGGTTAGAACTGTAATAAGGCCGGGGGTAGGCATAAGGTTGGAACAGGGCATAAGGTTGGAACTTGTGACATGAAGTGTTACTGTGGCATGTAGTGCCAATGTGTGGATGTCTATCCTTTTCTGATGAGCATGTCGAGTGGTATTCTACTCTGTGATCAGTAGAATACGCCTTGAGTTGTACTTGTTTATTGTTGTTTTCTTTGCCGTGATGTTTTCTGCTTTGTGATCAGTAGATTACATCTTGAGCTGTGTTGAGTTGTACTGTTGTTGTTCTTGTCTTGATGTTGTCTTGGGATGTTGATTTCCCTTGTTCTTTTGAGAGTGAAATATAGTCTTTGCAGTTGACTTCTCTCTTTACGGTTTTGAACTGATATATACTGTATTCCGTTTCGAAAACGATTTTGTATTAAATTATCTATGTATGCTATTGAACGCGTATTGATGGGTTACCAGCAATATTCGCTGACCGGGCGTCGTCCCATTTCTTTATGTGCTTTACAGGTCTTGAGTAGACAAGGCGAGAGCGTTAGCCGTTGGTAGTTTAGATCCCGTGAACAATGTAGTTAGTGTTTTGGCCTGTGTGCTATAGTTGTTGAACAATTAGTTTGATGGTTTTAGTTTTTGCCTGTGCATTCATGTTGGGTGTGAATGTGGCATAACACTCCTTGGTTTTCCCGGTTTTTATATTAGACTTCCGCTGTGCTTACATTTTATGTTATATGTTGGTTAGTTTACCTTGCGTAATTAAGTTTAAAATGGCATGAAAATCGGGGGTGTTACAATACCAGTGGGGATGTCCTGAAAGTTGGCAATGGCACAGGTTTGGGGGTTTCCCGTGTGGGTTGTGCAATTATCCCTTTCGAATCTAAAAACTTGCTTATATCTAATATTCTACACGTGCCAAAACTGTCATTACCACTTTTATGAGTACATAAATTCAATAATGAAAACAACGTCTATTTTGAATTTCATAAAACCTTGTTTATTGTGAAGGACTGCAACACCAAGGCGGTTCTTCTTAAAGGGTCCACCGCGGGCGATCTATACAAGTTGTTGGTGTCACGTTCCCACTTTGCATTTATTTCCGCCCGAGCATCCTCCACGGTGTGGTAGCGCCGGTTAGGTTACCCGCACAATCAAGTCCTCCAGCGTGTCCTGAAACACTGTCCGGTCACTCCAAATAAAACTAGTTCGTCAGAAGTGTGTACGGCGTGCCAGCTTGGGAAATCGAGACGTTTTCCTTTAGATAGAGTACCCACTTCCAGTTTCAATGTATTAGATTTATTATATACGGACATATGGGGTCCGTTTCCTATTATTTCTAATTTCGGATGTCATTACTTTGTCCTATTTGTAGACGATTATTCGTGTTTTACCAGGTTTTATCCCTTACGGGTAAAATCAGATATCTATAAAATTTTTGATTTGTTTCGGTTAATGGTAGAATGGCGATTTTTACGTTCTATCAAAGCCATACAATCTGATTTAGGGGGTGAATACAGTCGCCTTCATAAGTGTTTGAGTCTCTAGGCATAACGCACAGACAATCGTGCACCTACACACATGAACAGAACGACCGAATTGAACGCCGGAATCGACACATCGTCGAAACCGGCTTAGCACTACTCGTTGAAAGTACAACTCCCTTAAAATATTGGGACTACGCCTTTGAAACGGCAACTTACCTCATAAATTGCCTACCATCTTCCGTTATCAAATTCCAAAGCCCACATTTTCGCCTACATAACACTCACCTCACATACACCATTTTCCGTGTCTTTGGGTACCGATGCTATCCTTATCTTTGGTCATATAATCGGCATAAGATAGAATATCGCTTGGCGCACTGTGTCTTCCTAGGGTACCTGGTTTGTAACACCCCCGATTTTACCAACATTTTAAAAACTTAAATTCGAAAATAAACAGCTATCATCAAGACAATCATAAAGTGGAAGCTATTAAAAATCGGGAAGGTGTTATGCCACACCCATAAACCATGGGTGCACAGGCTAAATATATCAAAATCATCAACATAACATAAGTCTAGGCACACAGGCCACTAGTCTAGGCACACAGGCTAACAAAACAAAACATCTAAGCACTGGAGCTACACTATCTAGAGTCCACATCTAGCGCGCTCGTCGTCTCCTCAAAACCTGTAAAACATGGGGATAACACCCGGTCAGCAAATAATGCTGGTAACCCATCAATACGCGTTAAGTAGCATAGTATAGATAGATATAATCAAAAGCATTTGAGACTAAGGAATACAATATATAGTCATTTCAAAGCTAGAAGAAGATCAACATTAAAGACTCATCACACTCTCAACAAGAACGAGGATCATCAACCTCAACAAGACAATAAAAACCACAACAAGAGACAACATAACTCTAGATGCAACCTACCATTCACAAGGTAGAGTTCATCAAACTCATGCTCATAAACAAGGGAAATCACACAATCACATAATGACAATTTCATGTTTCAAGGTCCAAGTTCCAACCTTATGCCCGGTTCCAACCTTATGGCTACCCCCGACCTTATAACTAGTTCCAACCTTTACCTCCTAGTGCCACCCTGTACTTTTGAGTCCAACCTCATTCCGCCTGGGACCGTCGTCCCCTACCAATCTTTACCACCAATCAGAACCGTATTACCACCGATCTCATAGTACACGAGGGTACTGTAAAGTCACAATATTACCACCGATCTCGTGAGCAAAGCTCAATAATATTACCACCAATCTCAATCATAATCACACACAGTCATCATCATCAGGAGGATTGAGGCTCATCAATAGCCCAATCGAGTATCAACAAAGGGTACAACGACTTGTATATATATATTTATGAGTCCTAATTAGGGTCCAAGTGGTATGGGTTTGCTAATTCTATTTCCTATAGGACTAGGGGATTGGTTTTAGGGATAAGGGCCCATGGGCCATGGTGGACCGTTCTTAATTAATTACTAGAATTTAAATCTTTCTTTTGGGTGAATGATTAGGTGATTAATTGGTTTTAGGGGTCGTAACACGGGGTGTTACAGCTCCGGGATCTACTCATCTGTGCCTGAAAGCCAAATATATCTGTTCAGCAAA